GGTCGACTGCGGCGACCGGCAACCGGTCGTAGAGCAGCGGCAGGAGTGTGCCGTGACTCAGAGGCGTCTGTATCAATTTATGGTTGAATTTGGTCTCTTCTCTTTGGCTGTTGATTTTTGCTTAGTCCTTGTTTGTGCTAACACTCTGTGTGTACGTGTGTGCCTGTGTGTGCCTGTGTGTGTGCGTTTGTGTGAGTTTCGGTGTGCGTGCTGAAGTCTAGGAAATGTTCTCGGCATGCCGGAAATAAGTTTGCTGCCCGCAAAGTTAGTTGATTTAGGCATTAAAGCGAATCTATTGCACCAGCCTTCAGCCAGCCAGCAACGTCCTGCAACGTCCTTCGTCCGGCAAAGCTCTGCAGGCACTTGTGCATTTATAAACAATGTATGGCTTAATTTGCTGTTAGTTAGTAGCAAATGTTGTTAATTTAGAGGCCAAGCCCGGAGCAGACAATATTAACAGATGCTCCAACATGAGTGCCATTTGAGATCATTTCACTTACCACATCTAGCAGCTGCCATATAAAGCGAAATACCTTTAGGCCAGCTATTAAAAGATATTCAATTTGCCTCTAGCTCAAGGGCAATGAAATCATTTATTGACAATAGTTGAACGGCTAAACATAGATCTGTAAACTTTAAGCGATACATCGCTTCAAGATGGCTCAGTTGGTTACATTACTCAGCAGTTGGATATTATGAAATATTTAAATAAAATGCTAGAGCTTTACACATCCAATCAGCTCCTATAGTATCTCAGATTGTTTAAAGAACTTATTGGTTTCATTTAAAGAAAACATATTATATGAAAATAACTATTTTTAAAATCAGTTATTGCACAAGTGCCATAAATTCTCTTTGTAAACACGGAACTAAAGACAGGCTTTGATTCCACTTAACTGACTTGATGGCTAGACGAGCATCTATATGGCTTATCATTAACTGCCTCATATACTAAGTTATTTAATATATATTAAATATTTTTATTATATTATTATATTATTATATTATTATATTATTATATTATTATATTAATATTTTCTTATATTATTATATATTTATTATTAAATTAAGCATTAAGCTAAGCCCATGAACTATAACCAAACCAAACATATTTTTTAAATTTTTAGTAGTTTTCTTTTATTTAAATTTTAACTTTTATAATTTTAATTTTATAATTTTTTGTTAGGATATTTGTGAGTTAAATCAGAGTCTTAGCGCTAGGACTTATGACTTGAAGCTCATTTATGGCTTGCTCGCTACAACTATTTGATAGATAATGAAGTCCAACAGATCGACTGTCAAGTTACAACGTCTGCAGTAAACTAATATGAAACGAAATGTCATTTTTCCTATAATATTTAATCTGCAACTTGCGGCTTCTGCGCTCACGAAACCAACAAAAAAGTAGACAGCGCTCTTAGAGCTGCACTTCTAAATGCTCTCTAATGATTATGGCTATATTAAAGATTGAACTGACTTAACAACATTAATACATTATTCCAATTAAGCTGCACTTCTAGCATTTGTCTAACAAGATCTTTAAAGCTTAGTTGTGAAGTGCCTCTGTCAAGCTCTCAAGCTGTAAGATCTCTTAGAGTTTGGGCATTTCTGGGATAAATATGTATTTTGGCAGCAAAATGTTGAACTAAACTTAATTGATTTAGCTTCATAGTTAAACTGACTGCTGCCTGCTCTTCTTAAAGCGACATTTTCCTTTCATTGGTGGCAATAAGGCAAGCTCATTGTATGGCAAATTTCAAATCTTGTTGAGCAATCACTAAAATATGTTTCATTTGAGGTATTTGAATTGTTTTGAATTCTTTAGAATTCATAATTAGGCAACCAAGAGCATGAAATTACGCCCTCTCCGCGCTCTCTTTCTCACTTTGTCTTTAATGTCAACACACACATAGATAGCCGAGGCCACACACGCATATATGAAATACCACAAACGGGAAATAAAAACCCAAAGTCCAATTAAAATTTAACTACATCAAAGTAGCAGCAGCCGCTGCTTTAGATGAGCTGCTTTAGATGAGACATAGCCGACACCTACAAACACACACACGCACACACATTACATACATATATACATACATGTACATGGGTATATGTGTGTGTGTATAGCTATAATATTAAACAAGTTTAGTATTTTGGGTTCGAGTGCGGATTGGGTTCCTGTGCTCTATGGGAGCACAACAGCTGCTGGACACCAATGTGGACATGCCAACTATGAGCAAAAAAGAAAAAAAAGATCACACACACGCACTTACACAATGACCAATGACCTCACACACAGAGAGATACAGAGAGAGTGAGAGATAGGGCGGCTCAAACTCTCACAATATCCATGGCATGTTGAAAATTGCGCAGCTTTACGGCAAATGCCGCAAATTGAAACAATTTACATGTTGTACATGTGTGTGGGGCCATCAAAGGGTTAAGCTTGCGTGTAAACCGTCGATTCGTGCAGCTGTGTGTGTGTGTGTGTGTGCTTTCCCGCATCTCTCTCCCTCTCACTCGGCGTGTGTTTGCCCGCTATTGATACCAATGCACGATTGAGCAGCGCCGCCGTCGTTTTCTAACAAAACCATGAATTTTGATTTAGCCCCAAGCCAGCTAGCGGCTTCCGACCAAAAGAATAACGTTGCTACAAAAAAATCAGTCAGTCGCATAAAAAAATAGAAGAGCAACTACAACAACAACAGCAACAAGGTGGCAAGCCGCGCGTTGCCCGTTCCAACTGACGTCGAGGCGACAGCAAGCCCGGATTATGGCGCGCTTTTCGCTCACAGTTTCAGCTGCTCACATTTTTTTATTTTTTTCTTTTCTGTGCTATCCACAATTTAATAAAGTGCGGCTTGACCAACTGCTGTGATACGCTGCACCAGCAAAAGAACTTATTCCACTGCAATTGTTCACAAAACAGAATATAATGACGATATCATAATGATGACGATCAGAGCCGCGCTGGGCTAGGCAAACGTAGCTGTTGCAAAGTCTCGTGAGCCGTCTTCACGGAGATGCCAGAACGGAAATGCCTGTTTCTTTGGTGGCCAGTGGCTCGGTCATTAAACACCCCGCAAGGCCAGACTCATCTGTGTGCTGTATCCCATGTCCATATGGCTTGGTAATAACCTTTATAAAGTAAATTTACAATAAAAGGCAAATGGTGAATGAGGAATGGCGCATGGCGCATGTCGGCTGGGAGCGGGCCAAATGGAGGCTGTCGTTTGGCGAAATGGCTGCGACACGCAGCAGACACCGTTGTCCACTTTCCTCCTGCTCGGTCTTTGTTTTTTTTTTTTTTTTTGCTGATGTTTCTCTTGTTGCTTTTTGGTGCTTTGCTGCCCACACGCCGACACGTTTGGCTTCCGTTGGATTTTCGCCGCGATTTCCTTTCGCGCTGCTCGCCATGGCCCACGCCCAGACCTCGTCGCAATCCCGAACCCAATTGCCAGCTGTCGTTTTTTGTGCTCGTTGGCCAAAAGTCAACCCATGAGCTGTGGCATTTTTAAGTAATTTTTATCGGCCAACTGGAGGGTGGGTTAAATGGGGCAGCCAGCGCGTGGGGCAGCTGGACAACTGTTTGTGGCATCGTTGACTTGTGGGGTGTGGGGTGGGTCGGTGCTCGTGGATCATGCAAAGAAATCAGCAGCTAGGAATTTTAAAGTTGTTACATGACCAGCAACATTGAATACTCCGCCTACAAGGTCAGCGGATGCGGTCAGCCCACTCACTGCCTACACGACCGTCATGTGCCGATGCCTCTATGCCACCATGCCAGCTGCATCTGCTCCAGTGCGTGTCCAGTTGAGCTGGCATGGAAAAACTGGCACTGACTAATGATGATGGTGATGTCGGACTGACGCTTGGACATCGGGCGAGCAGAGTCGAGTGTCGACAAGTGACAAAATATGCAAGTATCAAACCACAAATTCTCACCCGTGAGTCCACAATCATTTTGACACTGGTTAGTGCGAGGCGCAGTGTATGTGGATGTGGATGTGGCTGTGGCTGTAGATGAGGACTAGATTTGCGTTTGGATAGTTGCATGCCACATCTAGCCACATGTCCTGCGCCAGTTCCTGTTGCTATTCCTGTTCCTGTCTGATATTCCCGTTGCAACGTCCTTTGTCGCGTAGCAGGAAATTGAAAAGTGCAACGCAAATTGCGTTCCGCTAAAGGTTGCACGTTCAACATTCAACGTTTCCCTGCTTCAGCGTCCTCACGGACGCCATTTGCCCTCGCGTCGAGTGGTTGACAATTGATTTGTGTTTATGTGCGCTGTCCAGGCTGTTCACTTGGATGCCAACCAGCCAGAGCACGGATTCAAAGCCGGACCATGCGCCATGCAACATGCACCACGCACCACGCACCACGCACCAAGAGCCATCGTCATGTAAACTGCCTGTTGGCCGTGATTTAAAGACATTAACATGATGGGCGCCCAAATTTCATGGACAACGCGGGCCGAAATTTAAGTCAATTTGAAGTTCGCTTCAGCCCAGACTCTAAGACCCATTGAAATTTGGAGTTTGCAAGTCAAATTTACGCATTTCAGCGAAAGTAGATCGTAAGTCTTTAAAATTAAGTTCAATTCTAAGAGAAACATTAATGCTGAGCACGCCAATCAAGCTTCTCGTACTTCTTTTGATATATACTTTATATATATCTATGTTCTATGTTTCAGCTAGCCAAGCGAGCGGGCGCAGCAATTGTTAATATAACAACGTTTGGTCAAATCAGACAAAATTGTTCGCTTAAAAAAAGTGCAAGCTCACGCTCAAGGACATCTGGAGCAGTTTGAGCAGGAGCCGCAGCCGCAGCCGCAGTCGCAGCCGCAGCCGCATCCGCAAGCCACGCATTATACACACCACCACTTGCACCACTCTCAACAGCAGCAGCACCATCAGCATCCCTACAGCAATCCATATAGCACTCAGCAGCAGCAGCAGCAGCAGCAACATCACAGCAGCAACAACTACAACAACAACAACCACAACAACAACAGTCACAAAATGCATTTGACAACGACGAGCAGTAATTCGACGGCATCGAATGCCAATTCCAACAACAACAACACCAACAACAATAACAACAACAACACAGCCAACAACAACACGACCAGCAGCAACAACAACAACAATAACAACACCAGCAACACAAATGGCTCCAACAACAACAACAGCTCGAGCAGCAACAACAACACAGAACAGAACACGCCCCCAACACCCGCCCAGCTGCTGAACGAGGCCTACACGAAAATGACCTCGGACATCTTGGCTGAGCGCACCTTGGGCGACTTCCTAACCGAACATCCCGGCGAGCTGATCAGAACAAGCAGTCCTCTCTTCGTCTGCACCGTCCTGCCGCCGCACTGGCGCTCCAACAAGACGCTGCCGGTGGCCTTCAAGGTGGTCTCGCTGGGCGACATCATGGACGGCACCATGGTCACGGTGCGCGCCGGCAACGATGAGAACTATTGCGCCGAGCTGCGCAACTGCACCGCCGTCATGAAGAACCAAGTGGCCAAGTTCAATGATCTGCGATTTGTCGGACGCAGCGGCAGAGGTAAGTTGCCCCAAAGCAAATTAAATAGAAAGATAAAAATAAATAGAAAAATAAAGATATAAACAGGCAGATAGATAGATTCATATATATATATATATATATAGAAAGATATGTGATCATGTGTGGGAATAGAAGTGAAAAGAAATTAAAAGAAAAGCTTAAATTAAGCTGAGACACGCTCTTAGCTCTTTAGGAAATCATATATAAATACATATATCAATCACATTTTATAACAAATATGATGTAGGTGTGTTATAAATTCATGTACTATAATATCAAAATTGTTTTCAATTACAAAATTCAGTTTAAAGGTGTTAAGCACATTTTTCTATTGTTAGACTTAAAGTTTTTATAAGACTTAATAGTTTCCACTCAAATTAAAGCCTCGAGCTTAATCTCAGCGTCGCTCAACTGAACAGGTTTGACTTTCTTCCAAAGTCTGATATGTTCTATATCTGAACGAAAGCTCCGGTCTAAATATTGCTTTCAAAAATTAATATATTTATTAAAAGTTTCTTTTGCACAATTTTAAATCATAGTAAAAAAATGAAATATATTTTAAAAATCATTAAATCAAATTTTATTTGTTAAAATATATTATGACATTAATTATTTAATATAATTATGTTTATGTGGCTGCCATGGTGCAATTTTTATCAATATACTCGAGTTTGACAAACAAAACCATTATTTTTATAACAAATTGCAACAATTTGTATGCATTTCTCTAGTAAAAGCTTATCTATAATAAAATGTCAAATCAAAGTCAATAAAATGAAACTATCAACTATTAAATAGGTAATTAATAGGGCACTGTTGCCTCAAAGTTACAAGCCTCTAAAAAGAATACTCCTTATTAGCTCCACAGAGCTAATCATCAGCTAAAAGTCTTTTAATTGCGAGAGAGTATTAAAAAATGTCTGAAAAGATTTGTTTCAAATAAAAAACCAAATAAAAAAATATTTTCAGATTTAAAATTTCCATTATCAACTGTAGAGCAGGTGAACATTTATACACCTGTAACTTGATTGAGTCTTAAGACTATTTTATGCGAGTCTCAGTACAATGCTAACGCCTTTATCTTCAAGTGGAGAACATTTTTTTAGACGACCATCCGAAACACACGTAACGATGGAGTAGGTATAATTAAAATAGTTTGTGTCAGTTATTCAGAATCAATCCGAATTATTTTGCTTAAGACAGAAGCTGGAAACTTTTAATTATTTATAGTTCACTTTTGAAAAGTCTTTTTGAAATAATTAAAAAAACATTTTCAAGGCTTTTCTGAAGCAGAAACCGATTCAGCATCTCTTTAACTTATGATAATATATATATATATATATATATATATATATATATATATATATATATATATGTATATATATATATATATATATATATATATATATATAATATGTTATATATAAACGTCATTGTGTTCGTATGCACAGTAATCGGAGGCGGCTTCTTGTAGTCGAAATGGCGCTGGGGCGGGGCGGGGGTGGGGGCGGTGCTTGGCCTTTCCTTTGTGGCCGAAATGCTCTCGAAACAATTTGTTCAATTATCGTCCCCTGCTCGTGGCTGTTGTCGGCTGAGTGGGAAAAGTTTTGAGTGTGCTCGACGCCATCTCCTTTGTTCAAGGATTATTCAGCCACTTTTTGCACTCTGGCATCCTTTTTTATCTTTAATTTTTTTCTCCCCATTTCGTTTTTCGTTTTGTTTTTTTTTTTTTTGCTGTATTTTCACGCAGCTATCCTTTTATATCCTTTTGTATCCGCTTGTAAAGCGCCGCACAAAATTGTCAGCAGTTCATTAGCAGACGAGTTCGGAAGTCTTGACATCAGTTCCGGGCGCCACTACCAATTGCTCAACCCAACAACTTTTGCTTAAAGTGTTTAATAAACTGTCAAGTGAAGCATTCCAACAGCCAAACGTACTTCAGCTACGAGCTTGAGTTTGGCTAGCTAATCAAAAGAAAATATTGGCGTATTACTCATGTAATTTAAGAGGCATGGAAAAGATAATACATTGTGTTCTATATATATTTGCTAGATAGGATCCAGTCATTCAGTTATTAGATCATTTATTCAGTCTCTCGTTCATCTGAAGATCAAGGCGCAAGGAGAAGCACTGGGAATGGGAAAAATCTCATTACTAATTTAACACGCTTCATATAATGTGCACAGGGTATTTATGAGCTGGTTCTAGCCGTCACTTCCCTGATAGCTGCACCTTAGCAACTCCGTTCCCAGTGCAAATGGCGACTATGGCCAGACAGAGAGCAGGAGACTGAGTTGAATGAAGGCTCTGTTAAGAGTGGGTTGCTAAGGTTTACGCATCGGCAGCGGTAAAACCGCAAAAACCAAAGCTTTAACTGCGGCATTTGTGACAGGACAGGAGTCCAACCTCCAGCAGGAACCTGCACCAAAGTCTGTCGCATGTGCCACAGACTTCATGCATTGTCATTCATTGGGCATGCCAATAGACGTCTGCGCCTCTGTCCCTGTCCCTGTCCTTGTCCCTGTCTCTGTCTCTATCTCTGTCCATCTCGTCCATTTTCCATATGCATTCGCATTGAGGCGTTTAATTGTAAATTTCCATTCATTTAGGCTGTCTGGCATGCCTCGCTCGTACAGCCTGATAGCCCGCGAGCGCGATGGTGTGTCCTTTGAACAGGATAGACAAAAAAACCAAAAAAAAAAAAACTGGAAAATTATGTGTTTTTATTTGATTTGCAATTCTATTGTTATATGAAATTTGCATTTGATTAACTTGCTGCACAGGCTCCGCTGTAGATGATCAGCCTTCTAAGACTCAGTGCAGCTGCACAAAACTTTCGCTGGCGATGGTGTGTGGCTGGCCGGGGGCGTCGGTTGGGCAACGCTGCGTATGATTGATTTGTGTGTTTGCGTTGCGCCTGGTTGTGCGGCGGCCATTTTGTTTTGGCTTCTGCTGCTGTCGCCTGCTAATTACAATAGAAAAATAGAAAATGCACATTCACCTCCACTAAGCCGAGCCATTCTCTCCGTTGGATATCGTGTGCGTGCGTGCGTCATGCAATTTAATTACCCATGCATCGATTTATTTGGCCCTGCGCGCTCTGCGCGAGGCTACACTTTTAATTAGCAAAGTGCCATGCACATGCACGCAATCACACAAACACAGAGAAAGAGATGGAGAGAGAGAGAAAGCTAGCCATAATAGGGGCTGTCGGTGTCAGTTGGCGATTGTTACGAGAGTTTCTGCCGCCAAAAGCGAGTTTCACGTCGATAACTTTGCCATCGCATCATATCACAAAGCCCCGTACCAGAGTCGAGCTGAGCAGAGCACAGCACACGACACCACATCGCACCACAACGCACCACACCGCACCGCACAACGCGTCAGCATTATCGATAAAGATAGCGAGTTAAGCTTCGGGTGGGTAACGTTGAGGTTTTTATTTACACAACTCTCTCAGGCCATTTAAGACAGCCGCAAAATGAACTGTACAATCTTCCCATGCTCCCTGCGTTATTCACGCCCCAGCCAATTCAAACAATCGAAGCCGAAAGTGAAAGCCGACGTTGCCCCAAAAAATGTGTAAAAAGACAAACGACAAAAAAGGAGCACACGCTCCACGACGCGACGCCCCTTCGACGCCTGGCCCCAGCCAAGGGAAAGACAAATGCCTGGCCAAAAGTCAAGACCCCCGTGTTAAAAAGAAGCCGGCGTCAAAAAGGCAAGACTTTGTGTCTTATAAATAAAAAGAAAAACAAAAATAATGCCATATCCAAATAACGAGAGCAAGCAAAAAAAAAAAAACAACTTCTACGAGCTGACACCTTAACTTGAATAGGGGAGACCAGAATCTCGGCGTGTGGCTTGTGTGTGTGTGTGTTGGTGTGTGCGAAGAGGACAAGCCTTCAGTCGGAAAATGTTGCGTGCACAATTTGCTTTTGGTTTTGGGTCCTTATTGCTGCTGTGTTTTCATGCTGAAAATGCGGTGGGTGAACATCTTGGGTGTGGGCCTGAAGTTTTTTTTCGAGCTTGAAGAGCGCAACAGGCACATTTTTGTCAAAGTCTAAGATTAACGCAATAGAAAGCAAAATAATTTGAGATAGATTTAGATGTGTTTTAATAGGCTGAGATAGATGAGAGGGAGAGATATAAATAGAGAGAGATATAGATATATGAATAGATGTATAGATAGATTGACAGACAGATAAATAGATTGATGGATAGATATGTGGATAGATAGATATATATACAGATAGATAAATTGATAACTAGACATAAGGAAGTATAGATAGATACATAGATAGGTGGATAGACAGATAGATAAAAAGATTGATAGATTAATAGATATATATGCCTCGAGAGAGAGAGAGAGAGAGAATGTATAGCTAATAGAATTATATAAATATAGTTAGAGAGATAGATAGATATAGAGTGTATGCATAGATAGTAAGATTCTCAGTTGGATATACGAATATAAAAGACTTTAAATTAATTTTTCATTACTCCGCTACTTATATCTATATAATCATTCCCTATCAGAGAGCTAGTCATATTTATTATCATCATTATTACCATGATGATTGCATGCATTATTCAGCAATGAGCTGAGCTCTCTGTGACAGCTGGCATCACATCACATCAGATGATTTTCTTCAACTTGAATTATTGTCGATCCACATGAAATTATGATATTAGATTTCGTTTGCCTAGGCTTGGGGTAGTTAAATATTCTATGCACGAGTAAAGACTATTTGTTCAGGCCGCCTCAGCGAAGGCATTAAAATCAAAGCTGTTGACAAATAACTGAAATCCTTGCTGCAAATCCTTGGCAATTTGCAGAACAAGCGTCATAAATCAATTGGGTAAAGAAACGCCTACAAAGCACACACACGTGTCCTGCCAGTGAGGGTACCCGGTGTGGGCGACGCACTCATGTGCTTGCCTGCCTATTGTACTTACTATATATGATGCTTGCTCACACACCCACACACATCGCACACACACACCCACTTAGGCACATAATCGTTTTCGTGGCTTAAAATTTACAATTTGCAGATTATTTGCAATTAAATTTTGGCTCGTCTCTAACGACTTCGATATTTTTGTTTAAATATTTGCGCCGTTTGTTATACTTTGTTGCCGTTGTCAACACACACACACACACACACACATAAAATATTTGTTTACTTTTTTCAAAAATTCCTCTTTACTTTGTGCTCACCTGCGTGCACTAAGTCCTTAAAAGCTTTCTGAGCCTTCTAATCCAGCCAGTAAGTCGGCCAACACAAAAACGCATTTTGTGGCTTATTTGGTTTCCCTTTCGACTTTTCTTTTTGGCCTCACTTTTGGTTTTCCTTCAGCGTTTCTCTTTTTTCTCTCTTCTTCTCGAAACTTGTTGATTTATGAGGCTTACAGCATTCGATAAAAACTGTTTTTTGCACCGATTAGTCATTGTTAAGGGTCAACAGAATCGGCCAATACCTAAAGGCATATCCAACTTGGCTTGGCTTAGACTTGAAGGAAGTGAAGCTGCTTTAAGTCTAGTTTAACATCTCGTCAAGCTACTAAACATCTCATCTATAGCATCAAATAAAAGAAAATAGTATTGCAATTTGCTTTCATATGACTGAAAATATTTCAGAAATTCCTCTCTTATTCCAAGCCGATTTTTGCTTAGCTACTGGCTCGTCTGTTCGATAAATTGCTTAAAAAACGAACTCGAGATGACATAAAAAACGAATTAATAAGAAAAATTGCGCAACAATGAACTAAACTGGATGACAATCGAGCCAAAGTGTCAGAGGACAAAGTGCAAAAGCATTTTGCAGCAGCAGTACAGCCTGAGAAGGGGGGCGTGGTTAAGGGCGCTTGACGGGCGGCAGTGGGACGTGGGTAGACAAAATGCCACTTAAGGCAACTGCAAACAGACAAAAGACGAAGTTCATTTTTTCTATGGCAAGCGAGCTGTAAGCTCTGCTGTGCAAACTGCGGGGTAGCAAATTGATGAGCTGAGGCTGAGTAAGACACACGAAGTAGAACGACCCCAAGGCGAAGATGAAGACACAAATTGAGGTGGCGCAGTGGAGTGTGGCTGCAACATGTGTAAGCCTTGCTGTAGCTCTCTCTCCCTCTCCCTCGCTCTCCGTGCGTGTGTGTGTGGTTTATTGTTGTGCGTGCCGAAATGATTTACGCTTTGTTTGTCAACTTAAAAAGCAAACGCCGGCAACAGGCGAAAAATGCCTTGAAGACATTGCACATACGCCTCGTTGTCATTGACAGACAGCACAAAAAAGGCACCAAGGCTACGGCTCAAGTGGCAACTGCCACATGGAGCGGCAGTCTTCGCAATTGTTAGCCGAGATCGGGAGTTGAGTGAAGTGCTTTTAATTGAATCGCAGCATCCTCGTGGGCCTGGCAACACTTGACAATAGCAAGAAAAAAACACGAGAGAAAAGAAGTCTGCCAAGTCCGGGGCCGGGGCAGGCGGTAGGCGGTGGGCGGTAGGCGTAACAAGTTAATTAAAAGAAAACTGTGTGGCACAAATGAAATAAATCTTAGCTTTCAAGTGCCACGCCGACCCACCGAACCACCGACCCACCGACGTGTGTGTGGGTCATGTGTTGCAGACAATGAGTTTGAATTGTAATTAATTCTTAGCAAGGGTTCTCCCTTGCCAGGGCGCAGTTTGTTACTAACTCGAATCTATGACTTATAAATTTAAATTGAAATTATATTCGGGCGACGGCTCTGTAAAGAGGGTACGACAACAGTTAAGTGTCAAAGGCAGCTGCATAAATTCTGTGAAGAAAATGTGATCCAAATAGCAGGTAGATTATCTCTGGGTAATTCGAAATAATTAAATCTATATTTGAGTTCTATTCTCATATGATAACGGCTCAACTAAAGCTTACAAAAGCTGATACAGCCATGATCTGCTTTTAACAGATTTTCTATGGCCAAGTTAATTTCGTATAAATTTATATGATATATGGAGCATAAATGTCATTAAATGTTTTACTTACTAAATTATATTTGATCAGTATTTTAAATATATTCGTTGTTTTATTACAATTTAAGCTTGTGTAACATTAATATAAAATGCCTTTTGTTAGTCCTCCGGCATGTGATATGCGCCGTGCCAGCTGTTATTAATATATAGTAAACAAGTCGCATTCGATTTTTACGATGTGACAATCGACCGATGTTTTGGGGTGGGTGAGGTCCATAAATGTGGCACGCGTGTTCAGCGAACATTTACGAAGTTGTAAGTCATAAATTTGTTAACTTCAGTTTTGTTTTATTTTCCCTTGTCTGTTTGGCCTCGTTCCAGGCAAGAGCTTCACACTAACCATCACCGTGTCAACGAATCCACCCCATATAGCCACCTACAACAAGGCGATCAAAGTGACTGTCGACGGGCCCCGCGAGCCGCGCTCCAAAACCAGTAAGTATAATTACCACTCAATAGCTAAGCCAGCTCTGTCCAACAGGGCCTGTCCCATGGCCGAGATCACACAGATTTTACACCAATGAAGAGCTGCAGACAAAATACATCAGTTTTAGATACGAAAGCGACTTTATTAAAGCTCTTTGCATACGCTTAAGAGCATCCAGATTGTGTATTTCATTTTACCCTATGCCCTGTAACAGTGCCAACGAGGTATATTAGTTTTGTGTGAATTTTAGATGAGCTCAACTAAGAGTAAGTTCTTTAGATAAAAATATGCTTATGCCTGAGCTTTTTATATGTGCATCAAATGGATTTTGTGATCGTCTCAGCTTGCCACAGCAAGTTGTATGCCTTGGCTTTTGTGTACAGCTCATGCATAACCAAAATTTGTTATCAAGTCTGTACCAAAGGCTTCTTAGATATCAAGGCATGAGCAAGAGCAGCACAAGAAGGAGTATCTTCTAGTCTAGCCTTCCACTTCTTTGCTGTTTTAGGTCTAAAGTCCTGTTCGATAAGCGCAGTCAGCGCCACGTCTAGCAGCTGCCAAATGCATATTTATAAGCATGGAAATATTTTACTTTGCATATGTTAAGACAGCCGAGCTCAGACGCAGCTATCAGAACAACAGTTGCAGGAGTTATAGTTGCTGCTGTTGTTGTTGTTTATTGTTGTCATTGTTGCCAGTGTAATCTGTTGAGTCCGAGAACAACAATTCAATCCATGGCATGATTTATATCTGAGGCAGCCAGACTGCAACGCCATGGCCTCTGGTGCCCAAAAACAGGCAGCACAGGACACACAGTATGCTGTGGTATAAGCACACACACACACACTCGCACACACACACACACTCGCACACACAAATAACAATTGGGCTTAGGCTGCTGCAAACGTCAGACAAAAGGTTATTATTTTATAATGAATACAATCTGCCGTAAAGTTGAAAACTGTATAATGGGCGACAATTTTAGCTGAGCATAGCATGAGAAAGAGATGGCTGACTTGACAGAGAGAGAGAAATAGGTGTGCGGGTCTGTCAGCTGATAATATGTTCAATAGTATGACCAGGCGTATAAATAATTTTTACCTTTGTTAAAAGCAAAAGAGTTAAATATTCTCGTCGAGAAAGAGAATTAAGTTAGGGCAGATCAAGAAGGAGTGGTACTATTTCCGAGAACTATTTTCAACAGTTAATTAAGTAAGTTATATTTGAGAGCTTTCGACATAATCAATAAGATTTGCCATTTGCTTAGGAATCGTTTAATGCCTGTCGAATATCTAGATATCATTTTAAAAGCTAAATGATATTCCGACTTGCTGGAAGTTGCAATTGGATGATGTGTTTTCGCTGAGGCAAAGTCAAGGTAACAAGTGCATCAGTTAGGAGAAACTAACATTCGAGACATTAAAACTAAAATATATACCAGGCAGACGAATGTCTGATTTCCTTTAGGAATAGCGCCATTAAAGCTGCCTTTCAGAAATTGGATTTATGTTATTTATATATTTACTTTTCTTTACTTTTCACACTGAAACATGAACATGCAAAAGAAAACATTTAGTTAAGGACAGATAATTAAAACTGAAAAAAACTTAGTGTTATCCCTTTTAGGGCAACAACAACAATTTCACTTTGCATTTGGCCAGCGACCGTTCCACTTCTCCACGGATCCACTATCCGGATTCCGCATGCCGCCAATTGGCAACTGCCAGAGTGAGTAACATTAAAAGTATTTCAATCACAAACATACATACATATATATATAAATACCATATATAGATATATCTGATAGATTTATGCCAGCATCAAGGCCAACTGCATTTGCATTTCAATTATTGCTTTTTGGGCTTTTCATTTCGCACTTGAGTAGAGTAGCTGGAAAATGCATGCAACAAACGTGCCCTCAGCAACGGTCAAGGGGAAGGGGATGGGGTGCTGGTGGTGCATGTCGGTTGTGTGGTGTGCCCCAATGCGACCGCACAAAATCACACGAAACGATTAGGTACAGGCTTTAAAAAATGCAAACAATAACAAAAATACAATGTCAGTTTTTAAACCTGTGGCCAACCAAACCCGATGAACGCAAAAAAAACGCCCGAGAGCAAGACGAAAAAAGAACGCAACAATAATTAAATATATTCAATTTAATGCAATGCAATGCAGTGCGGAGCATGGCAAAAACAAACTATGCGTGTGCGATTAAACAATAAATAATAAAATAAATCTTGACATCAATTTTTACAGTCGCTTTAAGCGACTGCATTAATTAGGCGCTCAATTATAAATATTTATATATTTTTTAAATTGAGCTTTGCGGGCGCCAAAAAGTGGGCAACAAAATGGAGACACTCAGTCAACGACTGCGCGATACTCTTTTAAACTATAGATAAAAGTTAGTGAAGTGAAACAGAAATTTCTAGCAAAAATCTGAAAATGTTTCATTTAGTCTAAAATCTTTGCTAATTGAATTAAAGTCAAAACACATAATTAAGACACGTAATATAATTAATACAGGGTATTAGCGCATCGTTTTAGTCGCTGCTGCTGCTGTTGTTGTTGTTGTTGTTGCTGTTATTGATATGGCATGGCTATTAAGCTGTTGGCCACTTTATTTAACCAAAGCTTAACAAACAAATAAACGTTGGTCAAACACAACAACAACAACAACATCAACATCAACAATGACCATCGACAAACTGCATAAAAAACGCAGGCGTCAAACAATTTGAATTGCTTTTTTATCTGCTTTGGTGTGTGAGTGTGTGTGTGAGTGTGGGGGTGTGCGTGTGTTTGTCGCCATTTTGTATTGGCATACAGAACAGCCAGACGAATTATGATTTTAATTCAAAGCTGAGCTAATTGTCATATACGAATGACGGATTGGCTGACTGATTGACTGGCTGACTGACTGATTGACTGACTAATTGATTGGTTGACTGATTGATTGATTGACTGACTAACTGACTGACTGCCGGCCTGACTGATTGACTGGCTGACTGGCTGATTGACTGACTAATTGATTGGTTGACTGACTGATTGATTGAATGACTGATTGACTGACCGGTTGACTGCTTGAGTGACTGAGTGATTGATTTACTGATTGATGGACTGACTGGCTCACTGATTGATTGGCTGACTGATTGACTGAGCTATTGATTGACTGACTGATTGAATGACCGATTGATTGACTGAGTGATTGATTGACTGACCGATTGATTGACTGAGTGAATGATTGACTGATTGATTGACTGCCTAACCGACTGACTGCCGGCCTGACTGATAGATTGACTGATTGATGGACTAATGTACTGATTGATTGACTTACCGATTGTCTAACCGATTGTCTAACCGATTGACTGACTGATTGACTGAGTGATTGATTGACTGAGTGATTGATTGACTGACTGATTGACTGACTGACTGACTGACTTCAAATTCAAGTCACAACGCAGCTGAGGAAGGACGAATATCTGATAAGAAAGCAAAAAGTAAGTTCAAGTCAAGTCATTGCGCAGCTCTGCAAGTAGGCAACAGCCAAATCAACAAAGTAACTAAACAAAGGCCTATCTAACATACATCGCGTTGCAGTAGAACAGAGTTTTCTTACTATTACCATTAGTGTAGCTATTAAGTGAAACGACTATAGCCTTCTCTTAGCAATGAAAGCAGCCAGAAATTGGCGATTCAGCAGCCGCTGGCCAAGTCAGTCTCTGATGTAAAGGAAGCTTGTTGCAAAAGCTAGACAAACAAGGTGCATACCTTCTGCTTGATTATATCTTTTTCGTATTGTTGCTTGTTGTTGAGAGTTGTGATAAAAACAAATTCAGTTGATGAATTGAAGAATTGAAATGTTTCATTTACTAAATATAGCAACACGAGATTAACAGGAGAATCTAAAGACACACGCTCACCCTCTTGACCCAGTTTAGTCATTAACGCCCTGCGAGGCAGCCAAGACTATAACATTTGTATTACTTTCAGTTACCTTTGTCGGCTTTCGGATTGATATTCATAATATGAATTGCTGAGATGTCGCTCAAATGTTTTGAGTTACATAAATTGGTCTTCCAACTAAAGATTACTTGATTGTTATTCAAATTAAAATATATGAAATTCATGTTATAGTTGAAAAATGCAATTTTGCCTTTCCAATCGACGTCTCCAGTGTTGATTTGGAACCTTTCTGTCTCACGTCAATATATGAAAAACCGAACAATAATCGTTTTTGTTGTTGTTGATCTATCGATTTACTGTCTAAGCTCGAACAGTTTCTGTCTGTTAAATTTTGGTCGCCAAACTGGCTGGCGGCATTGGTGAGAAATATAAATCAATAATTAAAATTGTGGGTTAGTTTTTTCTCTTTTGTTGCTGTTGCTGTTACTGTTCTGCGTGTATTGTAGATGAATTTAATTTAATAATACATTTAAAAATGCATTTATATTAAATTTGATGTATCCATTTAAATGGCTCATTAATTGATTTACAAAACAGCACAAAGCCAGCGATTAATGGTTAGCCAAATGTGACAGCAACTTAAATTGAGTTAAGTTTCGTTTTGCCTTTCGTTTGAGCATCGGATATGAGCCTAAATAGAAGTGGACTTTAAGGCAAATACTGTTCAATCAGCGCACAAAATATTCAACAGTCAATTTGCAACGCCCCGCCCACATTCTCAAACAGCCCTGCCCAGCCTCTGATGGTCTAGCGCACAAATCAAAATGCAAATGACGCGATTTACAGCCAGGCGACCTATGTCTCTCTCTCTCACTCACTCTCTCTAAAGCTGTCTCTCTCCCTCTCTTAATCTGTCTCTCTCATTTATGTACACCGACTTTATATATATATTTATATATGAGTGTGGCTAGAGCCGCGCTGCAAGTGTGTGTAAATAATGATTACTGAAAGCGTCTGTTGTTACTGATTACCCATAATTTAATTGTAAATATGCAAAAAGCAAAATAACCTGAATTATTTATTTACAAATTTTATTGACAGTCGCTGCTTGACTTAATTACTGGTATATATTTTATTAATTTCGCAAAAAAATAAGTAAAGCAAAATAAAATAAAAGTTATATGCATTAAATATCACATAAGATCCACGCTTCAAATGGCCAACGCCAGACGGCAACAGCGAATGAGCTATATGTATATATATATAACTGTCGAACTGTCATATCTTCATCGTTAATATAATTGACAGTTTGAGATACTGAGCCGAAGAGAAATGCAGAGCAAAGCCGAAAGATCGACTGGCTGCTGAGACTTCAGGTTGGATTTGATTATTCACTGCGTGAGCTACAACAAAATTTTCTGAACAGCTTGTTTTCTTCTTCTTGCAAGCAAATATACATTTTCCTCTGACTTAACTAATATAACTTATATTTTATATTATCTTGCTATAGTCTCATTCGAGGTTTCATGCTTGAAGAAGTTCCAAGGGTTTTTTAATACAATATTTTAGCCAAGATGCTACAGCTCTAGTAACCCGATGTAAAGGTAGTTTCTTTTTACAGTTTCATAATTTTGAGCAGGCAACATTGTCTTAATTGACAGCCACTTTAACAGCTGGTAATTGGCTTTTATTGAGCTTGGCTTGACATTTTAGAATAACTAGATTTACATCAGAATGACGCTTGCAAATTATTGACATTTCGTATCAAAATGTTAGTTTCGTTCAGTTCGTTTATTTTATGGCGTACGTATGGGAAGCCCACTTGGTTTGATTGACGGGTAAATTAACGTAAATAAGCATTTGCGGAGATTAATACTCAAGAAAATTAACGTTAACAATGATGATTATGACCCGTCACACGGCTGAAATCATATTTAGACATTAATGTCATAAAATATTCTATTTTATAGATGTTGCTAATATATAATTTGACATTAAAATTACATAAACTTTTTTTGCTCTAAAAAATAAGTCGATCGATTAATGCTGTCTGCAACAGAACACGTAACTTGCGCAGAGTTTTAACAATTGTTTTCAAGGCAAAATCAAAGCTTAATTAAGATTTTATACACATTTGAGCTGATAAGCAAATATCAAGTGAATATGAGCTTTGATAAATTTAAATATTACAAATTGAACAAACATAAATTGGCCTATAAGAAAAAAAAAACGATATATATTCATGTGAATTGTTATATGCTGAACATTTGCAATATGCTCAACGTATAAGGATCAGAGTCTGTTTGATTCGGCTTAACACTTATGTTGAATTAAAGTGAGTTTTCCTTGGGCGAAAAGTTCCGCAATTGGATTGGGTTGGAAAACACGTGTTTGTTTGCCTGTGTATAAATCGTGTTGGCTTGTTAATAATTCAGTTACAAAATATGCGCAGAGAAAGTCAATCTCTGTGACAACAAACATCAGACAGCAGACCGAAATGCCAGGAACAGAAAAAACGGATAAATAAAACGAAAGCAACAACAAGCTGAACACAAAAAGCAACGTAATTAATGGAGGTAGAAGCATTTAAGCCAATAGCATTAATAAAGCCACCACAAAATCAATATCCGGATACGAAAATGCGCCCGTCGCCTATAAAAACTAATTAATAATTTCCGAATGGGCTATTAATTAAGCCTAATTATCTGTGCATGAGTCTGGACCCGCAACGTGGTCTGTACTTTATACGAAACCAAATTTCCGACCCCGCCGCCCGACCGTGTGCTACGACGACGCCTAACATTGGCATTTTTGGGGGTAGCCAGGTCCGCCGCCAGCTCCCGACCATGTTTTTGGCGTATTACATTGAAACGTTATTTCGGTGGCATGTCCGTCGCATCAGATACGTTTGTAATTTTTATGCACAGCTACAGCCGAAGTCCCGCATAATGGCCATGATGGAGCTGCAATTAGCGGCCCACATGTGCCATAAATTCGAGCGCCATGGCCCCAGCTAGACTAGGTGATAGCTGATAGCTGATAGCTGATGGGGGATTTGGGTTGGGGCATGGTGTCTAAGGGCTGCACTTATCGCTGATAAGCGGGGGCGCAAAAGACTCATTTAGCCTGAGGCACTTTGTTGCATTGCATTTCATTTATTCGCATCGATTTGGTTATTGCGCCTTTTCTTTTTGAGTTGAGTCCACATGTTTGCTGTATACTTCATCTGCTACGTATTCTAGTTTTTATCACGTTCTTCTCTTTGTTTGTTTTTTCCTCATCTCGCTCACACATAAAATCTAACTGAAACATATATGAAAAACATAAACGATACCAACAACAAAGATATGTCCCAATTTGGTTTAGGTGCCAGCAATACGCATTGGGGCTATGGATCGGCGGCGTCTGCCTACTCACCGTACTTAGCCAGCAGTGGACTCTCCTCCTGCACCACGCCCACTTCAGCACAGTTCAACAATCCGGCCTTGGGCTTCACCTGTTCATCGAACGATCAAAGCAACAACCAGGATTTCAGTGGCGCCACCAATCGTGACTGCGTGCCAAGTAAGTCTGTTAGCACTCGATATTTATTGATCATGATATAAGCTCTTAATATATACAAACTTAGTCGAAGTGGCGAACTGGCGAACTGGCTTTCAGAACAGCTTGTAGCTTGTGGTTAGAAAAACATTAAAAGATATCTTAGATATTTTCATCATATAAAGTTAGTTGTTTTTTAGAGCCGAACAACTTTGAGTAACTACTTAAATTGATAATATATTTGTCTGCTGATAGTTGATTTTTAGTAAGTTTGCTTTAGCATTTTATTATAAATAGAATAGAGTATTGCTTGAAAGTTGTTTACATTTTTATCGAATTAATTTTTCTGTTCGTTGTCCATTTTATGGCGATCAGAATGATGAAGCCCACTTATGGTTCATCGGGTAAATAAAGTTAAATAAGCAGAATTACGGCATTTAAAGTAAGAATAATCTACAAGCTTTAGTCGAGACAGCTTTACATTCACAGATAATTACTGTTTGGCGCGCTTTATGAACTGGCGGAGTCGTTGGTTCATATATGTTCTAAAGTCGACTAATGTCATTGTGAAAATTAAAATTTTACTTATTCGAATTCTAATACAAAAATGTCATAGAGTTTTTTAATTAATAAAATTAGTTTTATTAATATTTAAAGTTTAAATTTATATTTTTTTAGGACTTACACTTGTGTAGCTCTAAATTAAAAATACGATATATTTTATTTTCATACATAAAGACCAAAGTTTAGGTCAGTTTATTAGAAATCGATGTTTAAATTAGGTAACTCAAGCAGTCATGTAGAACGAAGAGCTGTAGAAATAGATTCCCATTCCACAATTCACAGTTCGAGCTCAAATCTTCGTTTCAGGCAGCAAAAAGCCAGTCCTTTCAGCTACATCTATGACTTTCGCTCAATTGCCCAGCTAGACTAACTTATATAATCATTTTGTTGCTGAGCTGTCGACTAACACCTTTTCATGTTTGCATTTCGTTTCTTTGGCGCAGTGCTGCCGGACTCGACAGCCAGCGACTTGGATCAGCATCTCAGTAGTCTGGTCGGTTCGACCAGCGGCCAGATGTCGCATCATAGCCTGCTGGGCGCCAGTGGACAGACTTCCATAACATCGACGGTGAATGGTGCGAGCGCTGGCAGCGGTGCCACCGCTGGCAGTGCAACGGGCGCTGGCGGGGGCGGGGGTGGTGCCAATTCGATTCTGGTACCGCGTTACCATACTAATGCCAGCAATGAGTACAATGTGCATTCCAGCCAGAATGGGCCGCGCAGCCTGAGCGATAGCTCGCAGGCCGAATCACCGGTGCAGGAGGACTTGCTGTCCACTAATACGCCCAATCTGGGCAGCGGCAGTGGCGCCGGTGCGAGCAATGGTGGTGCCACCAATGGTGCTGCCAGTGCAGCTGGCGCTGGCAGCGGAGGCGCAGCGGGCGCCTCAGCTGGCGCCGTCAATCCTGCCATGCTGGGCGCCAATCAAAACTTTCCGGGCATTGTGAACCAGGCACAGCATGCGTCTGCCTCGGCCTATGGCGGCGGCGTGGGTGTGGGCGTGGGTGGTGGTCATGGCAGTGGCGCTGGGGCCACCGCCGCCGGCTGCAATGGATCGCTGTATCCGGTGCTGCCGGCCAGCCTGCTCTACTCGCAGCTGTACACCGCCGCCAATCAATCGGCGCACGGCTTTCACTCGCACACGCTGCCAGCGCACGCTTCGCCCAACTCGTCCGTGCACGGCGAGCTGCAGAGCGTCATGGATCACATCAGCAATGTGGGCGTACGGCAGCAGCATAATATCATGGCAGGCGGAGGCGTGGCGCATCCAGGTGATCTCACGCTGATCGGCAACTGTGGCGCGTCGGTGAGGAACATCGAGGATGGGAACACAAATCGTCAGGTGGCCGCGCTCGCTGCCCATCGCGGCCACCACAACCCAACTGACAACGGGGGCAGCGTCTGGAGGCCATATTGAGGTCAGGTTCTGTGGTGCGGCTCCGCAGTTCTTTAGTGCCACGAGCACGACGAGGGGCGAGCGGCGGAGAAGCAGCACGAGCCACTGCAAGGCAATGATAATGGGAGTGGGCATCGGGATTTGGGTGGGGAAATGGGCGGGAATGGAAGCGGAAGTGCAACTGCAACTGGAAGTGGGTGTGGGGGCGTGGGTTACTGAGTGTACATTTCTGTATATACATTTTATAGGCCGTACGAAGGAAAAGTATTTTTTTTTTTTTGTATGCCAATGATAAGCAGGAAGTTTTAGTAGAATTGTTGGAGTTCGCCAAACTCAAAGCTAAAAAATAATACAAGAAAAAAAAAGCAAAAGAAAAACAAAAGAAATGATAACTCTATAAAAGAAAAACTACTTTACGTGTGTATAGCGTAGCAGCATAGTAAAAATTACTTAACTAGCAAATGGATGGATGCGAGGAGAGGTAAAGTTTCAGCATCGCTTTCGCCTCAAATTCACAGCGATTTCGCGCCCAATTTCGCCACTTGAAATGCTGGCGAAATCGTTGAGGCACTGAGCGCGCTGAGAACGTTTGCAATAGATTTTTAGATAAGGTCAACAAGGCCCAACCAGAAAACATAGCAATTGTCCCGGAGAAGAGCAAGTAACCCTCGCCACTACGAATTCTAGATTCGTAGCGAAAGCGTCGCATAGAAACGATGATAATTGTTGTATTACTTTCCGAATTTTTTTTTTTTTTTTTGTAGTAGTTCTCGATGTTTATGATATAGGACCTTCTTGTTTGGCTGTTTCTCTATTCGGTTTCTCTTGATTTCACAATTGTAAATTACTGTATAGCAGGGATTTGGAGTAGAAGAAGAGGAAGATGGAGGAGGAAGCAGTTGAGCCGGTTGACAGGTGGTGCGTAGAGCCGTTGTATATGAGTTCCTAAGCCGTAATCCATGTTCGTGAATTTGTTTACTGTTTTCATGTGCTTCGATATGCGTGTGTCTGTACTTTAAATGTGTATAAATCTGTGCAATGTAAGCTAAATACTATTTAATCTATGTATACGTAATATATATATAACAGGATAAATATGCAACCAATTATAAATAACTGTAATAACATACATTTTTTTTGTCTAGTACATAAAGCTTTACCTCTTAAGTGAATGGCAGCATTATTGGCTACGAGTTTCAGCATGAATTGAGACGATGTTTTTGTCAGAAGTATCGCAGCTCGACTTACTCCTATTCGACAAGTTGTTGTAGAGCTGACGCTTAGAAACAATCTCAACACGATCTAATAGCATTATATAGAGTTCACTCACACATACACACATACAGTATCGCTAACTTCAAGATCTTCGAAAGTTGTCAAGCAAATTAAATATTAAATATAAAAACAGTCGTCGCATAAGCGCCACAACGACGTGGCATTAGTCTTAGAGATCTACTCATTTGCAAATGTCCAGTAGCACATATTTTTTTTTAAATCAAAGTTGAAATTTAAAGAATATAATATTTAAATATAAAAACAAAAAAAAAACAAAAACTGATCGTAAAGTATAATTGATGTATACCAAAAAAGAAAAAAAAAAACTAAAAAAAAAAATACAAAAAAATAGCAATAAAATAAAACAAAAAAACTTTGTGTATAAATAGAAAAGCCAAGTCGAATCTGCTTGACGAATTTGAATTTTGCATAAACATAGCCAGAGCTATATATATATATTTATATATATATATAGTTCATGCATATATATACATATATATGGACAACTTCGTGCAGTAATAATACAGTGTAATAAATTGTAATGCAAAATTTGATTTCAGGCAAAAGATTTCAAACAAATACCAAAAAGAAAACAAAGTAAATATAAACATCAACAGAAAATGATCAGAACTATTTAATTAAAGAAATACATTAATAAAATCATTATGGAAATTAATAACAATTAAAAACTCTACGTTTTTTTGGGGGACTAAAAAATTAGGTTGAGGTGAGTTCGACTCCTGTTGCCTGGGCACATTTTGGCTGGAATCTGGCTGGAAAAAAGCTAAGAGTGCTTAAACTAAAAATGTAGAGCTTTAAACCTTTGTTGGTTTCTATGCTTAAACTTTACAGCTGAGATGAGCTCCACGCTATTCGGTTCATGGCCGGGAGGCAGGCAATACAAATTGCCAGCCACTTTTTACGACACAATCGGGACAATTGGCAAAGGTAAAATGATATCGGAGACGAGGTGAGCAGCATCTAGCTGCGGTTTAGATTGGCGGGCTACGTAATTTTCCGCTCAATTTATTTCACATTGTGGCATCCAATTAAGCTGCAAACCAGCAGCCAGTCAGGCCAAGTGCCTGGACCAGACAATGCGCACTCGTTTATGTGCAACTCCTGCTCCAGCTCCTGCTCCTTCTCCAGCTCCAGCTCCTGCTCCTACTCCAGCTCCTGCTCTTTATAAGTCCATAAAAAGGCAGAGGACAAGCAGTCACTGGAGCAGCGTGTTTCTCTATAGACGAGTGCAATTGGAGTCGAAATGTTCAAATATACCTTTAGCTATTACCACAATGGGTTAGTTAGCTCTCGCTCGGAGAGCTTCGATGTGAGCAGACGCACGGCTATGCAGTTCAGATTTCTACTTTATTTTCGTCGGGGGATAAGTTTTAATCATTTTATTTGTGTCTACTTATAGGAATTCTAAAGATGGTTTGCATAGCAAATTAGCAGTCAGGCGGCGCCCTGAAGTATGCAGCAGCAAAATTTCTGACTACCCCGAATGCCATTACTGAGCGTGTGTGCGTGTGCTTGTATGTGTGTGTGGCACTGAATAATTAAAAATGTTACCCATTACTTGCGTCGCTTGATAAAATTTCAAACAAACATAGTAAGACACACGCACACACACACACTCATATGTTTTTTGGAGCTACTCAAGAGTAGCTTAGCTGCATGGAGACTGCGAAACCACTTGAGATGCTGTCTGCGAGTCTCATTCAAAATAAAAGTGTTACTTCTCATTTCATGCTCTCTCTCTCTCCCTCTCCCTCTCTCTCACTCTCACTCTCACTCTGTCGCTCTGCCTGCTTGCGTGCCTTGCATTTTAACACTTTTCATATGAGAAACAAAGAGTCCCTTGGCAACCGCATGGACTGATTGACAAACTGACTGACTGACTGTCTAACGTAATAATGTTCTCCTGTTGCCATATGCAACATAGAACAGGGAATATTCGTGACAATTAATGTTATTATTAATTTTTTCGTATAACTCTTAAGAATTGTATGTACTCACCTGCTTCTAAAGAGGCGCTAATGACTCTTTACATTTGGGAGATCAACAGAGTTCACCTAGCTCTAAGTGCACGGTATATAGCAGCACATAAGCCAATTTAAAGCTGCTCATTGGCTGTTGTTTAATTAAGGCGATAAAGCTGAGCCGAGCGGCATCTGAGACACTTGACGAAGCCGACGAGGTGCGCTCAGCCTCCGCCTCTAGCAGAAGGCACAAAAGAAAAGGAAAGCTTAATTAAATTAAATTAAAAAATATAAAATGACGAGCATGTTAGAGCGGGTATGCAAATTAGCGAACAGCTTAAGGAATTACCCAAAAAATATATCATATTTATATATATGCTTGTGTAGACACGTCCATGTGGCAGGCAACCCTCGGGTGCTTGGCTTTTATAACGTAACGACAATCAGCTTTTTGAGTCGCTTCATTTGCTGAAACTTTGTGTCTCAATTATGCAGGTGATGAGCATGTGTGCGTGTGTGTGTGTGTGGGTGGGTATACATTTTATGATGATACCAATTAAGGCCACTCACATGACAGCAACCGTGCATCTTCTGTGCTTCTTGGGAGCAGAGCCCAGGCGCACGCTTAATTAGCAACACCTACAATAAATTCCAACCCCACCCCCACCCCCAGCCTCTGCCATCGGCATAACAAACTTTTTAATTATGTGATAATATATTTAACTTGTTTATGCAGGCCCACCCACAACGCACCACGCCTCCGTTGCGCCTTTGTTGCTTGCCTTACTGAGCTGACAAAGCAGTGAAAGAACATCATCTTTAGCACGTCGAATATGAAATTGTCTTGGCTTAAGAATTATTATCAATAATATAAAATAATGAACAGGATGTTAGGAGATTATTTATTTAAAATGATTGAGATAATACATAGAAATCGAATCACTCCTATGACTCGTGCACGAAGTTTGACAAAGAAAACTTATAAGCTTATCTCTAATAAAATGTCAAACTAAATGCAATAAAAAGCAGCTAACAGCTATTAAATGTATTGTCTTGTACAGAAGTATTGCCAAGTCAAGGCTGTGAAGCTCTAAATCAATTTCTCTAATATCTAAGTTATGCTGAGCAGAAGAGTCAAACAGATACTGAAACGCTAAGCATACATAGCATTTACTGTATGCTATATTAACATAATCTAGTCAACATATATATAAAAATATATATATATATTATGTCTCGTTTCCTTCAATAGGAAAACTCGCAAACTTCGGCTTGGCTATTGAATGGATTGCCTCATCTATGCGTTGCAAGTTTCCTAACAAACTTCTGATACCCTTTACAAGTGTGTACAAAAAATACATAAAAATACTTGTAATCCCACAAACGAAATGCAACAACAACAACAACAGCAACGTTAACAATTCAAATGAGCAGAAAAGCTGGGAATGGCTCCCAAATGGACTCAGATGCAGGTGAATGGCCAGCAAAATATTGCAGAGATTTTGGTCGGCGCAAATTATGCGACGACTCTCTCTCTCTCTCTCTCCCTTTCTCTCTTTGTCTCTCACTCTCTCGCTCTCTCTTCCTTTCCGTCTCTCACTCTCTCTTTATCTTGTTGGTGCATTTGGAAATCTGTTGCCGCAACTCGCGTTGTTCGCAACGCGCAAATATTTAACGGCTGCTACATATGTGCGCCCTGCCACATACATATGCATGCACACACACACACACACACACATACATATATGTATATATACACACACA